TGGGAAGCACCAGAAAATCATCTTGAAACATGACACCCTACATCAACCATTTGAATCCCTGGCTTCTTGGATAACCCTTCCATCAGCTACTGATACATCTTGGGGATTCATCTGATAAACCTTGCATCCAATCCTTTGAGATGCCTTTTCATTAATGAAGTTATGTGTTGAGCCACTATCAATGAGGATATTGATTGGTTTGTGTTCAGTGAACCCTTGGACCGTTAAGGTTTTGTATCCTATGGAACCATGCAAAGCTTCTAAAGAGATCTCACAGCTTTCTATAGCCTCTTCTTCTTGCCTTTGATCTGTGGTGCCCTCTTCAAGTTCTACTTCTTCAGTGATAACTGCATTTGTCTCTTCAATTTCCAAAGAGTAGATTTGCCTTTTGGCATTGCATTTATGCCTTAGCACAAACTTTTCATCACAGAAGAAACACATTCACTGAGTGAGTCTCCTTCTCCTATTATTATTATCAAAGTTGGCAGTAACTGGCCCTTTGCTTCTTGCCATGATTCCCTTAGAAGGTCCACTAAATCCTGATCCTGAAGCTGCCTTAAAGGTAGAGTGTGCTGCAGTTTGCCCTTTGATGGCCTTACTCTGAGCAGCAAAACTTGCCTCTTGTAGTCTAGCCAAGTAATAAGCTTGAGGCAAGCTACAGGGGTTCCCTATTCTAACAGCATCCCTGAGCTCAGGTTTTAAGTTATTCAAGAAGATGTTGATTGCATGCTTAGTAGCTAGGTTGACCTGGTGATAACACTAACAAGAGCCCTCTAATAATCCTGCACTAACCCTATGTGCTTGACATTCATGATTTCAGTGATAGGATCAGAATACTCAGCCCCAAAGCTGTCACAAAGTGCCCATAAGTACTCTTCCCAAGTAGGGAGAGGCAGATGTCCCCTACTTCTCATGTAACCTAAGTGCCATTGTAAGGCATCCCCTTCAAAATGCATGGATACTAACTTCATTCTCTGCTGAATTGTAACATCCTCATCAGCAAAAAACTGCTCCACCTTATACAACCAAGTCCTCAAGTCCTAACCATTGAACTTAGGAAATTCTACTTTGTGATATTTAGCGAAAGGGATGTTAGGTAAGGCAATAGTGGGAGTGTAAGGAGGATTCTATGGGTGCCCATTGGTGGGAGTGGGCTAATAAGGGTGTGGTGTAGGAAGGTAAGGTACCTGGTGGTACAGAGGAGGGGATATGTCAGTGATTTGGGTACAGTAAGCAGGTTGGAAACTGAGTGTGTTGGGCATACTGGTTATATGATAGGGGTATAGCCATAAGTGAGCCTTGGGTCTGAAATGGAGCTTGTGGAATGCTCCTCCTTAAGCTATTTTGGTTATAAGGAGGCTGAAGTAGCATCATGGTTGTTCTAGGAATTGGAGGAGGGTGTGGCTGAGAACTGTGTGTTTGAAAAAGAGCAGGTTGTATAGGGGTTGTTCGTGCAGGAAAATTGTATAGTGAGGAGCTATGGTTTGAGGGTATTAGTGAAGCTTGTGCCATAGGAACAGAAGTAGCTCTAATTGGAGCAACAGAGGTAGGGTTACTGCTAGTGTTGGAAACAACCACAACAGGGCTATTAACCCTTTGCGAGCTAGGTGAAGCCAAATCTTCAAAATCAAAAGGCTTGTCATTAGTAGAGTAAAGCTCACCTCCACTATAGGCCATTGATTTGTCTCTCTCGGGCCTCTTTCCATCGTGGATAACTTCATTAAGTACCTCCCTTATCTCACTCAAAGCTTCTTCTTGATTTCTACAGTTTTGCTATTGAGCAGCCTCCAGTTGTTCCTGTCTAGCTGCAAAAGTCGATACTTCTGTGGATATCTTCTTGAGTGTCTCCATAACCTCGTCCATATTGATAGCCATTGTACCCACAGAGCCAAGATTTGCTCTGATACCACTGATACGAGCTGAGCTAAGTTGCAGAAAATGAGAGGAAATGCAAGAAAAGCAATAGAACAGTAAATGAAAGAAGGAAAAAAGAAGGGAAAAAATAAGAAAGAAAGCTAAATTAGAGCGGGAAAAATAAGGGTTTTGTATATTGATTAATAAAGAAAGAGAAGATCATTACAATATATAGCATTGCAACCCTAAATGCCTTAGCTGGTACTGTACTATCGCTGCCCAGTATTAGCAACAGAGCTGGACCTAATATGTTTTGATAACCCAAATGTGTGGGGTCAATGTGTAATTACTATAACTATAACTTAAAAGTAAAAATGACTAAATTGTCTATCGTACAAACTTTCCCTAACCTCCTTCCCAACTGATTATAACAGCTACGTACATCTACGCAAGCACAAAGTACCACAGCCTGAAGCGCAAGCACAAACTTATAACCCTGCTTTTCAAGGTTTTCCTAAGACCACGGTTAGAAATGATGTTTTTAAATTTCAAACTGAATATCTTCAGTATATTCGTTGTGTATTTTTTCACTTGGATTGTAAAGTGTCTATCACATCTGATATAGGTCGTAGTCCTAATGGTTGTGATTATTTAACTGTTACATGTCATTGGGTTGATCATCACTGGAACTTGCAAAAACGTATTATTGGTTATAAATTTGTTGATTCAAAACACACTGGAGCATATATTGCAACTACTGTTCTACAAATACTTGATTTTTATGGACTCGTTAATAAAGTTCTAACTATCACCTTAGATAATGTTTCTGCTAACACAACCGCGGCAAATAGCTTAAAATCTAGACTTTGTCCAATTAATCCAACAATTTTTCATGTTAGATGTGCATGCCATATTTTTAACTTGGTTGTAAAAGATGGTCTTAATTTATTTTCTGATGCTTGTAGTAAAATACAACATGCTTGTGGCTATATTTTTCGTGCTCATAAACAAAGTAAAATTCGTGAATTTGCTCAACAATGTGCTAGTGCTGGCCTTCCATTTAGAAAAGTTCCAAAAGATGTTTGTACCAGGTGGAATTCTACTTATGAAATGCTTACAGTTGCTTATGATTATCGGATGCCCATCCAAAAGGTATTTAATATGTATAATGCTTACCCTGTTGATCAAATTGTTGATTCTAATTGGGATGAGATCAGAGAGCTTACTAAATTTTTAGAAAAATTTTATTATGCTACAAAACAATTTTCTGGTATATATTATCCTACTATTACACAAATATTATGGTATATTTGTGGAATTTCTATTGTATTTGGTAAGTATAAAAAAAATCCAACTTATGCACCACTAGGGAAGAAGAAGAATACAATGAGATACTTACCACTGGGAGCGATGACGGCATGGAGCTCATGGAACATCAATCAACATTGCCAATTCCAGTAGAATGTCCAAGAGATATTATTGATAAGTTACAAAGAAGCTATATAGGAGCTTACAAATATTAGTATGATAATTTGTAATTGGCTACTAAGAGGCCTAGTTCAAACAGAACCCTTCCTAGAAGGTGGCTGCGTAGAATAGGTGTTCTTCAAAAGAATTGTATTTGTATTTGAGATTTGAAAGTTCTATTAATAAAATAAAAGGCTCTAAGCGATGAATTATTTTTATGAATTGTCTTAGTTACTTAATAGTTAATACTTTGAAATTATATTAAATAAATTATAACTCTATTATAAATTTATATTTACTAGATTATTTCATTATAAGTCTTTTGTTTTAATATTTTACAATTCTTTACTTAGTTTTCTAATTTTCTTTTTAACATACTAACATAGTAACATTTAAGTTTATTAAATAAGTCAAAAATCTAGCCGTTGCAAACTTTAAAAACATAGTAATTTTCAAAAAATTAGACGCTTTTTTATTAAAAAAAAAACTTAAGGCCCACGAACCCGTCCCGTCCCGTCCCGTTCCGTCCCGTCCCATCCCGTCCCATCCCGTTTGTTAGCGGAACGGGATGGGACGACCGTTTCGTCCCGTTTGTCCCGTCCCGTTTTGTCCCATCCCGTCACCGTCCCGCTTAAATGTCGTCCCGTCCCGTCCCGTCCCGTTAATTTCGTCCCGTCCCGTCCCGTTGGACAACCGTATGAATGCGTATCACTAGTAGTGTAGGTATAATATATCGTGCCAATTCATACGCAACTCTAAATATTGAATCATATTTAAAGTCACAAATATCTTTAGTTTTTGAATACTCAACTCTTGCTTCACTAAAGAATTTGCAACCATGTAAAAAAAGCTTATAAATTTATTTATTAATACATATCTTATATGATACACATGTACTTGGAAAATAAAAACAAACTGAAATATTCCCTCTCAAAATTTGTGAGTGATACAAACGAATTAGGAAACAGACCGCCCTAGCCCAAGTAAAGTGTTCAAAATCGGCCCATATATCCAAATGACCAAAAGTGGGCCGATGCAAACCATCCATATATAAACGGGAGAAATTTAAAAATAGCCAAATTTACATGTGGTCGTTCAAAAATAGCCCAGTTTCAAAAGTAATCGAAATTTAGCTATTTTTCATGTAAAGATAAATATGAGCGAAAACACTGTTCAAAACCCGAAAAATACGCCAGTATATTATGCTGGAGTTCCAGCATAAGTATACTTGAACTTCAGCATATTATACTGGAGTTCCAGGATAACTATGTTGGCACTCCAGCATAATACGATGGAGTTCCAGCATAAGTACACTAGAACTCCAGCATAATATACTGGAGTTCCAGCAAAGTATACCGGTCCAGTATAATATGTTGGAAGTTCATACACAAGTGCTCGAATCTCCAGTATATTATGCTGGAACTTTCCGTGTGTTGGAGTTCCAACATAATATGCTGGAAGTTCATACACAGGTGTACCGAACTCCAGTATATTATGCTGGACCGGTCTCTGTTGCAGCAAAATAGTGGATATTTTTCATTGACTTGGTAAACGCTGACTATTTTTGAATGACCAGTCCCAAAACTGGCTAGACCGTGCTATTTTTAGTATATAAACGGTTAGCCCCACCCGCGGATTCAAATTTCAGATTTACCGCGAAAACCTTACCATTTGAAGCTATGGGAGAACTATGCAGATCAACCATTTTCTTCTCCGATCAACACCTCTGTTATGCCGATATTCTTCCTCCTTCACAGGTAACTTTCTCTCCACCACAATCAGAATTTGTAAATTAATAGCAATATTGAAATGTATGAATCACCTCATTTAGAAGTTTAATTAAGTCGAAAACGATTGACATTTTTGTTTTCTAATTTTATATTTCAGAGTAATTATAGCGCTTTCGTAATCCATTATAAAAAGTTAAACTGTTAGAATCGAAACTTAAACAATTTCATTATTTTAGCATGTCGTTTGTTTTATCATCAAATCGGATTTATGTGTTCAGGTCCGAGGTCGAATTGAAGTTGCGGTCCTCAATTTTCTGAAAGCCCTAAGTTCGAACTCTCCGTCTATTTCCGATCTATCACTGGTACGAAATTCTACTTTTTTCGAAACGAAATGTCACTATAACTTGCAATTTTAGCCTACTTCATATGTGTATCGTACGTAAACATCATTAGCTTCTTTGAATCTAATAATGAAATTCAAAATAAGTTAATTTATCCATTATGATTGTGATTTCCCGAACAGTTCGGGATGTCTATTTTCATGAAGAGGAAAAATTGAACAAAAACACAAGGGAAATGAAACTGCGTGCCAAAATTTGAACTATAATGTAGCAATTGTGACAGATTTAGTTGTGAACCTTTATTGTATTGCCTTAAATACAAATTATTTACCAGTATCAGGAAGAAATGGGCCTCAGAAACGGATATAGATAATTTATATAGTCGAACACAACCAGATCGAGTTTGAGTTGTAGTTAATAGTTTGCAGTCTATGTGACAGATCAGTAGAAATTCCAGCAATAGCAGAGTGAGCCGGGGGTTACTGACCGGTGATACATGGATCTTCCTGTCCCATTCGTTTTGCACGCGATCATTAATGAGAGAGAATAGTGCCAAGTCCTTCATAAGAGGTAAAAGAATGCCAATCTCTTTCCAACAGAAAGAAAAATTACTTACTGCAGTCTGCACAAATTAATAATGCTGGCTAAGTTTCTGTCATAAAGTTTGGAAGGTTATGGAAATGTGCTACCAAATTCTGGTCCAGGATAAGAGGGTGACTCAGAGAGAGCTATATTACAAGCTACTCTGTGATTCACCAGATTATTTCACTTCTCAATTGCAGGTTAATAGGACCATCCAAGGTCAATGCTGATTCGTCTTTCTTTTCGTCATTTCTGAATTATGATTTGTGTGTTTGGTTGATTTTGAAACGGGGTCTTCATTTACCTTATGGAGAACAGACTTGGTGGCCTTGCTTCGGTGCAGCCGTTATAGCCTTGGAATAATGGCATCTAGCAGAGGGGCAATAGCGGGCCGTTTATTGTTGCAGGTACTATTCTTAACCCTTCAGTTGTAATTTCAGCTGTTCATATATGTGCTGCTCTGCTTCCGCTCTTCAGAATCCATATTTTATTTGATCAAAAGCTTAGCATTATTAGCTTAACTTGGCCTGTAACAGTAACACTATCTGTCGTTTTGGAATCAAATGGGCCTAATAAAGCAAAGGGGATATAGAGAATCCATATAGACAATCTCTACTTGTTGGGAATTGAGACATAATAGGTTGATGTCTTTCTATAGGAGCCTCTAGTCAAACTTTTAATGTTTCCAAGTTTCTATAGTTGGTAAAAGTTAGCTGCTTTTGTCTGTGTAAGATAAACTATATTGCTTTGTTTTATTCTGATTTTGTGCGAACAATCAAGGAACTTAAGACTTACGTGTACAAGTCATTAAGTTTCCCATTTAAGCTATGGTCAAGGATTTGAGTAGGTTGTTATCCAACACTTAGAACTTTGGTACTTCTTTTTTCCAAAGATGGATTAGTGACTTATGTTTGCTCACTTCTTTAACCACTGAGAAAGGAGCCAAACAAGGAGGTTGTTGACTGCTCCACCTGTGGATCGTCCGGATATGCTATATCTGGAGACTTAGAATTGTTGGAAAAATTGGCCATGGAAACAGATGCACGATACATCATTGTGGTGGAGAAGGTATTATTTTTGTCACTTTCTGAAAACTTTACACTACTGATTTTGCAAGAAACTAAAAGTAGTTCTACTTTTTAGCATGCCATATTCCAGCGACTGGCTGAGGATCGTGTATTCAATCAAATCCCATGTATTCTAATCACAGCCAAGGGATTCCCTGATATTGCCACTAGGTGAGGTGAATAGTTAAGCATATAGTATATCATCTTCAAAGACAACTCCTTTTACCTGAAGTTCCAGCTCACAGAACTATTGTCCATTCAAATATTAACTTACATATTCTAATCTCAAAATACTTTCAGGTTTCTGCTTCATCGAATCTGTCGGACATTCCCCAATTTGCCAGTCCTGGGGTTTGTTGACTGGTATAAATGACTTCACTAGTGTTGCCACCACATTAGATGCAGACCAACGTTCTTACATATAGAATTGTGATTTTTAAGGAATCCGGCTGGACTAGCAATTCTTTGCACCTTCAAATTTGGAAGCATAGGGATGGGACTTGAAGCGTACAGATATGGTGCTCGTTTCTCTTATAGTTTTGTTGAATCATGTGTCCTTGGTATCTTATACGAGTCTATTTCTCTACATGTATTTTAGCTTGCAATGTCAAGTGGCTAGGACTGCGAAAGAATGATATTGATCAACTTGTACCCGAAGAATCTTTGGTCCCTTTGAAACCACGAGATCTGCAGATTGCCAAGAGCTTAATGTCATCAGAGATTCTGCAGGTATGAATCCAGTTAATTTGGAAACGTCCTTCTTAATCCAGTTTTCGGCTTAATAGTCACAAAATTACTGATTTTTAGCAGGATAGTTACAAAGAAGAGGTTGCAACAATGGTTCAGAGTGGTCAAAGGGCAGAGATTGAAGCTCTTTATTATCATGGATATGATTACTTGGTGAAGTTCCTAGCGACGAAAATAGTGCAAGCTAATTACCTCTGATAATTCCCTCTCTTCCAAACAAACAAATACTGAAAAGATATACTATTTCCCGAATTGAAAGCTCTACCTCAGCCATGTCGGAAGTTCAAAATTTGAAAATCTACTCCTAAAAATTGAAAACGTTACGTCTCTCATATGCAATGGCTTGGTTATTTCCTGCTGCTCTCTTCTGTTTACTCTACAGTAATCAGCAGGGCGTCAACTCTGAGGCTTTACATTCACTCCAATATTGAGATATCTAAGTTTAGCGCATTTGATTGGGCGACCTGGCGACATAGTTCACGCAATCAACTACTATAGAGACAACAAACCGGAGAGCCAATAACTCATCTCTCATCTATGTGTGCAATAACTTTAACAATTTATAAAGGTGTAACAATCAAATAATTGGGCATCTGTTCATAATACAACTTACATTGACCTTTATACTGACATCTATTCCTTGGCCCATAACAGACAAATGATAAATAACCCAAGAAAAAGGTTTAAAGTAAAACTTAAAAAAAAAAAAAAACAGGGAGGAATGTAGTGGTACGGAAATAGAAGGAAGAAAAGAAAAAAGAACAAGGAAAGCTTGGCGAATGAAGAAAAGTCTGCCTAAATGCCGTACTTTGAGCTCCGAAAATGCAATGCTGCTTCCTATATCTCAGCAAACAAAATGAAAATTAAGTGGAAGACTCAAAATCTCCCACCTAATTGTTTTACTATCAACCTAGTCTCGGTGGCCATCTACATTTCGTCACAGCTAATCCCAGCAAAGGAAAAAAAATTCAGGCCCTCTTTACAGAAAGAGACACTCTCTTTCCCTCCACTGAGAACTTGTCACTGCCTTCAAGCTGCATACAAGGAAACAAGTCATTTGAGCATGCTAAATGAAAAATGAAAAAAGATTATTGAAAAGACAGAACGAATGATATCTCCTGCCAAAAGACACTACAAGATTGCATGGCTTACAGAAGGCAAGTCTGCTAATGAAAATGTACTTTACCTTGCGCTTCAAAAAACCAAGTGCCTCTTTTTTAGTGAAACTACACAAAAGATCTGAAGATTGTTCATCAATTAGCACTTTAAGCTGCTTCAGCTTTAAAGAGTTCCCAGGTGCCTGGAGTGTCGGATATCAATGAAGGGAAGTCAAGACATGACTTTGAATAAATTACTTAAATCAGTGACAAAAATAATCTAAAGAAACCTGTTTCAAGAGCCGTTTGCACAATTTCTTCAGCTTCAATTTTGGTTCATCATTTTTGGCTGGGTGACTGATTTCTTCATATTCTGCTTCCATGGGAGGGTTCGACTCAGAAGAATCTTCTTCATCGCTATCATCAAAGGACGTCTTTTTCCCCTCGAAGTAGCAACCAGCAACCTTCTTTGGCCGGTCTTTGATACCCAGTCCTTGTTTTCCAGTCGTGGCTGTATTCTGCAGTAGAAAGACATTGTCATTATATTTCTAGATGAACTTCTCCAATGCTAATACACATCACCAGAAAATATCAGCAAGGAAGCTAATCAGAAAAGATTCATATCAGTATAATAAAAAAACTGCAACCTACTAATAACTAAATCAGTATACACCTTGCACTTGCATTTGTTACCTAGACAATGTATCTTATAGTGTTCCAATTAGTCTATGTAAGAAGTCAGATCCTGATAATATTTGCCAGCATTACAGTTAGGAGGATATAGATGTATTAGGTGAAGTTAGTAAAGATACCATACATAAGGCACTTAAACTTTAAACTTCATTAGAAGTAGTGTTACATTATTCTCCGAAGATTGAGGAACAAGAAGAGATCTATTAAGAGAAAGATTTATTCTAGAGAAAATCTTAACAGTTACATCCAATCACAAACTACACGAAAGTTATGTTGCGGGGCCAGTGACAGTTCAAGTCATTATGCAATTAGAAAGTAAAACCTATGATTCTTCGAATGGTCAGAAAGCATACTTGCACAAGGTTATAGAGATTTTCTTGATCCTCCTCGTGAAATGTGGTCCTCTCACTGAAGTCTCGCATCGTCTCGGACGAAGATGACTTTTTTCTCCGAGCTTGACTTCCAAGAAATCCTCCTGAGACAAATCCATTTTTATAGCCCCACCATTCTGGGGGAACACCTTGATCTTCATTCCCTGGCAAAAGGAATTATTTTAGTAAACAATCAGCAGCCAATAAGGAAAGTGGGTGCATCTGACAGGACAGCATAAACTTATATCTGAAAGCCCAACCAGGTATCACAAGTATCAAAACCCATTTCATATCAACATATCCTTATTAAACATATGCACAGACAGTAACACACTTGCGAACATACACCCCCACAACGATCCCACCACCCTGCAAGAAAACGAAATGTATAGACTCGATAGAGAAACAGGAGCTACGATTCAGGTCAGACAGAGATTAGTATTTATTCGTATTTTCAAAATCTCCTTCCACCAATCACTGATCTCCCCACTCCCATCACCCAGACCAAAAAAAGAAAGCCTTGATATACTAATAGCTTTGAGTGGAAACTAACACAGCAAGAAAATATCTAGTAGATTAGAGGAGGTCTCCTTATCCTGTTCACTGAGATGATTATGGCTTGTTATCTTGGAACTTGGAAGTCCTTAGTGGATGATAATTAGGAAATAGCTACTCCGCAGTAGTGTAGGAAATTACTGATTCTAGAGCAGGATTTGCACTCTTCTCCCTCCTTTTTCTTTGGCACTCCTCTCCCTCTTAAAAACATGTTTATAAACAGCAACATTAAATTTGACCCAACGCATTTCCGCATGCACATGCTTATTTCATAATTCAAATGGGTCAGGCAGCCTAACTGCTCAAATAACATATCTCGAACTTACATGCATCATCTGCAACAATAATAGTCTCCGCTGTATCTGCTACCTTATGATCATCATTTGTCGGAGAAGTCTTTGTCTTTTTGACCTACACAACATGCAAATATGGCTAAGCAGAACACAAAATTATAGAAGAAATAGCCAAAAGGAGCGTGAATTACAAACTTTGAGTCAAATAAGGCTCAAGCATGAGCAAGTGAGTGCATTCTTTTTAACATAATGGTCAATTTGCAAATGTAATCATATAAGAGAATAAGCTGATCCTGTCCCAAGTCAACCATTAAATCATATAATAAGAAAACAAAATTCCTAGTTTTTATGGAAGAAGTATACAGGTTTTGAATGAACAAATACCCTAAAAATATTCTGCTTATTGACTGTGAATTGCAAAAACAAAATTATAACATCCTAGTAGGCTCAGATATAACATCAGAGTACATTGCTGGTGAACTTGTTATAGCCCTAATCAGTATCCATATAGTGGAAACATCACTTTCATGCAAAAGTAAACTTACAAGAATTCCTTCAAGATCCTGCGCTGAATATGAGTGCACAAGCTTTCCTCTTTCCCTTCTCTTATATCTGGTGCACAGAAAAATGAAAAATTGGTTTTTCGTTACAATGTGTTCCAGCTCACCACATGTGAAGAAGCATATACCGACAAACTTACCTTCCTTGAGGCCGAGTAACCTTAGCTACAGTCTCTTGTTCTCCATTAGAAGATCCTGTTTTCGTGTCATTTTGCACGTCTTTTTTCTCTTTTACTGTTAGAAGCACCCGAAAAATTTCATACAACAGAAAGAAATGGTTTATCTATAACTTAAGAATGATTTCCAATTCAATGTACCTTCATCATTGTTGATTTCAGCTGTTTGCTGCCAAATAATGAAAATAGATGTTAGTCATATAGCACATTAGGAAACAAACTTGGTGAATACAATACAACTCAAAGTTGAAGAAGAGAGTTACCACTTTTAATCTTTTAAGGATACTATCAAACTGCGCAGTATCAAACGCCCATTCATTTGGCTTTTCTGTACCGATACCTATTCCATAATTCAGAAATAAAACCAGCTAAGCATTTACTTCTAAAAATAAAATATAAGGAAGATAACAACATTTCTTTCAATTTCACTTACTACCTATAATGCTAAGGAGGTCTTATTTTGTTCCCTTGCCTCCCATTATCTATCCTATGCTAAGGAGTTCTTATTTTGCTCCCTTTCCTAAGATTATCTTTCCTTATCCCCCCTCCCCCAACCAACCCATGAGAGAGAGATGTTTTCCTCCTCTATTGCAGCCATGCAACAAAACAGGTTACTAAATCGAGATGCGATAAGGCAATCCATTAAAAACCTGCAGTGTCTTGTTTGTTCTGTACTCTGACATATCCTTTGATTCCTTGCTTGTTCTTGCCCAAGCCTTCTCCTTCTTCCCATCCCTGTTAACCACATTTCATGCATATTAGAAATATATATATATATATTTAACGGAAATTGCAGAGTAATTAGCTCAAGTACAAGCGGATATACAACAAAAGAAATCGAATATAGTGAATCAGTTTATAATCATAGTTCCATTATTGGCAATTAACTCCATCAAATATACAGATCACAGAAAAAACTTCAGAAACTTCAGAATCAAAAACTATATATCCTACATTTAGTCAGTCTCAAAATCAAAAGTCCAGGACCACTCGCTTGATATCCTTCATTTCTCATAATTACAAAATTTATGAACATTAAAAGAACCAAAAGCCGTCAGCTTCAATATTACTATGCACACAGGGGAATTCCCAGAAACATTACTCCCTACGTCCCAATTTAAGCAGCACACTTACAAAATTTTCACTTTAATATAAATGAGATGATTTAAAGACACACAAATGTTTACAGCATTTTTTAGACCACAAGTTTAAAAGTCTTTCTTTCTTAAACTGCATGGCCAATCAAACAAGGACACATAAATTCCTATGGAGGGAGTAATACTTATTAATAAAAAGTATATCATCACCTTCAACTCAAGCAATTTTGCCTGCTGCGCACATATTTAATTCTTCTGTTAATTCATTACATGTAAAACAAAATAATATTTTTCGTCTCTTTTGGTACACGCACATGAAAATTCATCAATTTTAAAACTGAAATGACACGGATCAAATAAAAAATCACATATATAAGAAAAAAATTCAAGTTTTGCAACAAAATTGAGCTCATTTTATATAAATCCGGCAATTCGAGGCGTATGTGAAAGAAAAATGAAAATAACAAACCATTTGTTTCATGAGACGGAAGGCGGCGGACTTTCTGGCGACTCCGACATAGCAAACGGGAGCTTCCGGCGCCGCCATAGCTGATTAATCGGAGATAAAAATCGTGCCTTTTGTAACACCTCTGTTCCTCTCTAGTCTTACAGTAAACGAGTTTCAAAACCAGAGAGGAAGAGAGGGTTGGTGAAAGAGAAAAGAGGGTTTTAGAGCAAGCAGCTCCGAGACCTAATACTCTGGATTCTGGAATTGAAGCAAAGATCCGTTACCGTTTGATTGGGCCAAAGGCTGAAAGTGGTGATTTTAAGACCCATTAGGTTTGGCCCAAATAATAAAGAGAAACTTTCGGAAACCACTATGTTTTAATGGTTATTAGCTAATAGTAGTTATCATTTACTATATTATTTCCTATAGCTATGTTCTCAGATTTTTTAGAGTGTATTCGATGTATTTAAGCTACTGTATTCATGAATACAGTAGCATTTCTAGGCGTGAAACAGGGGATTACAGCTAGACAGATTTTTGTATTCGACTGTATTCACGGCGTGAAACAGGGGATTACAGCTAGACAGATTATTGTATTCGACTGTATTCACGATATGTATTTGTGAATACAATAACGTAAATAGCGCAATTCATGGCCTATTCAGTTGTTTTAAACGGAAAGTGAATCAATTAACATAATAGACTCCTAATATAACTCAACAAACTCAAACACACAAAATTTGTTTTTTCACTTATAAAAAAAATTCTCAACCGAAAAATACCCCAAAAATATAGCAATCTTCAGAGAAAATATGCTGAATATTTTTCCCAACCGATAAATACAACAAAAACAGAGCAATTTGAATACATATATACATCTGAATACATAAATTATATTCATTAAAAAATATATGAATACATTCATGGAATACAACGAGACAATGAATATAATGAAATACATGTAATACAGCGAGATACATTGAAATACAATTAAAAAAAGACAATGAATACAATGAAATACATGGAAATACAGCGAGATACATTAAAATACATTAAAAATATATTAACAAAATCTTCAAGTTACTCAGCCCCAAACTAAAAAGGAACCCCATGTTCCATCATATTCCATCATAGCCACCAAACCATTCATTTCTTCCGATTTTCATGGTAATATAGTATAAAATCAAATTAAAATAAGAAGGCTTAGGTAGAAGGAATTGGTCAACTCCATCACTCCGTCCCATAGGTTTGATTGTATTTGTACGGAGGACATCATAGCTGCCATGGCGATTACCTTAGGGTTTAAGCTTTAGATTTGTAGATTTTCTTCTCTCATGAATAGTACTAGAGCTGCTCTAAATTTGGACTACTGGGGAAAGAAGTGTTGGCTCTTTCGTTCTGTAGGAGAGACTTGGTAATATAAATTTCAGATTGAGAGTCAAAGCTGCCCGTATCGATCTGTATTTGGGAGAATCATGGTTGTATTCATGGAGAAAGACTGGAGTTGAGAGAGAGAGGGGAGAGAAAAATATGAAAGAATGAGAAAAAAAAAATAATATAATGCGTATTTTATGGCTTAAGAGTAGGAGGTGACCATAAATAGATATTTGGCTATAAAAATCAAAAGGTAGTTGTGGAATATAATTTTTTAAAAGGGTATTTATTTAAAATAAATAAGGTATCAACCTTTGCTATAGGAGGTAAAAATTCCAATAATAAAAGGTTGGCCCATAATTCGGGATGTCTAATGGGATATTTACAAAAATAGCCAACCCGTATTTACTGTTTACATTTCCTAACCGGTAATACATAAATTATACGTTGATTATACACAGTCATACATATATTATATATAAATTATATATATTAGTTTAAGTTGTTGGAGGGCGACTATTTAAATAATCTTCATGTCTAACTTTGCATTGGAAAGCTCGAAATTGACCCAATAAGCTTAGGGGTATTATCACTTCTAGCCCGCGCCGGAAACTATTTACATTGATTAGCCGAAAAAAGTGTATAAAATTTATTTAATTTTTATATACAACATACAGTGTGTGTGTGTGTGCGTGTATATATATATATATATATATATATATATATATATATATAGCTATTATTTTGAGATCGGCTTATGAGAGAACAGACTGTAGAGTTGGCCCAAATGATTAAAAAAATTGGCCCATAATGATTTCTTTTGCGTTACTTTTTTTTTTTTTACTATTAATCAAAAATATCTTTTGCTTTACATCATAAATGAAAAAAGAAAAAATAGAAATGATATCAGGTAGCCATTCTAAAGGGATATTATTTAAGAATTAGTTAGTGCGTCATGAATTTTAGTTTTTCAGTTCAAATTATCGGGACATAAATATTCTGAATTATCCCGAAGTTAATGTTTTTAGTATAAAGTTTCAAGACAAAATAAGTACTGGCTAATCTTTACATACCATATCTGAAAAATAGCTATCTGTGCACTTGCCCCAAAGAAAAAGTTACTTTCCATCTATTTGGACAAAACTTAGAGCCTGTTTGGATTGACTTATTTTAAGCAAAAATAACAAAAACAAGCAAAAAGTTAGAATTTTAGACTTATGGATTAAAAGCCACTTAAAACAAGCACATCCAAACGGACTCTTAATATATTTGCGGAAAGTACTTATTCACATTTGTTGTATACTAAAAAACTCAAAAGCGCATGATGTATATTTTGTATACAGTCAAAATCGGGCCCACCCGATTTTACTGATTAACGAGACCAGGGGAATGGATAAGGTACCGAGTTCGGGATTCGAGGTACCTGTCGAGATCGGGACCAGTAATGATGAGATCAAACAGGATAGACATCGAGCAAGACAGAAGATAGCATAATAACGGAAAGACGAGATATCTGTGATTGGTCGAAGATCATAGCGGAAATCTCGTAACAGATCAAATCAAGGACGGTTATTTAGCTAATCATGGGATTTTCTTCTGTAGAATTATACCTTGAATAGGATTCATCTACTATATAAAGAGGGTCTTAACCATTTGTAATCATCTTACATTGAAGTATATCAAAGCAATATACCACATTTTCGTCTCTTGCAAGCTTTGTTGTCCAGTTCATAGTTTCAATAGTTTGTTCAGTTGGTCCGAGGATAATCAGCTCGAGGGCCATAATTGTTTATCACATTGGTTTGCTTTATTTTACTGTAACTTCTATCGTTAATTTTTATATTCATTGTTTTTGTGCCAAGTGAAATCACATATCCTTAAAACCATTTATAAGTTTAATTGTTATCCGATTTTAAGGGTAAATAGTTTGGCGCCCACCGTGGGGCTAAGGATAATAGTGATTGCCTGGTACAATTTTTGTAACACACATAATTTTACGTTTGTTCTTTGAAGTGTCTTTGATTCCAGGATCAACATGTCAAACTCTCAAGTAGCACCCACACACACAAACGATGGCCTTGGTCTCCATGGCAAGAACGATAACATAGCCACCCCAGGGAACGGAGTACCTGTCAACCCCGATGGAGCTCCGGCCGTGGATCCAATCGACGTCAGTTCCCATATTGCCATTAATGGAAAATTGTGCATCAATCCTGAAAATAATGTCCGTAGGGATGCTCGAACAGCCGATCAGAACACAAGGGCGGTGAAGAATACGGGATTAGCCTTCGAATGATATTCGAAATGTGCAGACCCAGCAAGTCGCGATAGTGCAACTCCAAAATCAGAACCGTACACCGAGCAGGATCGAGCTCGATCCATCACAATAAATGGTTCATAGAGCCGAATCGGTGGCGAAGAGAACGAATGGAGGAGAATCGGAGACCAATCCTACTATCGTAAAAATGCTCGAGGAACTGACGAAGCAAATCGAGACAGGGAAAAGAAGATCGAGGAAAATGGTAAGAAAGTGGAAACTTATAACTCTAGGGTCGATCAAATTCCGGGGGCACCACCGGTACTCAAAGGACTTGATTCCAAAAAGTTTGTCCAAAAGCCTTTCCCCGAGTGCGGCTCCGAATCCAATCCCAAATAAGTTCCGTATGCCCGAGATTCCGAAGTATAATGGGACGACTGATCCAAATGAACACGTCACCTCATATACATGCGCCATCAAGGGAAATGACTTGGAAGATGACGAGATTGAATCCGTGTTGCTGAAGAAATTCGGGGAGACTCTATCGAAGGATGTTATGATATGCTACCATAACTTACCACCTAACTCTATTGATTCATTTGTTATGCTTGCAGATGCTTTCGTAAAGGCACACGCCGGAGCCATTAAGGTCGCTACCAGAAAGTCGGACCTCTTCAAGGTAAGACAAAAAGACAACGAAACGCTCAGGGAATTTCTATCTCAATCCCAAATGGAGCGAATGAATTTGCCACCGGTTACCGACGATTGGGCTATTCAAGCTTTTACTCAAGGTCTCAATGCTCGAAGTTCCGTAGCCTCACATCAATTGAAACAGAATTTGATCGAATATCCAGTTGTCACTTGGGCTGATGTACATAATCAATATCAGTCAAAGATCAGGGTCGAGGATGATCAACTGGGGCTCCAATCGGTACGATTTATCCCAACAGGCCCATGGACAGAGTTAAAAGGGACGTCAACCAAGAACCACAGTTGAACAGAGACCGATATCAGCCATAGGGCTAATGAGCAAAAGTGGTTTCGATAGGGATGTCGGGACCAAAGAATTATCTCTATTGTAAGAATATAACTTCAACGTGGATGCTTCCGCCATAGTATCAGCCATTAGACGTATCAAGATACCAGGTGGCCCCGACCTATGTAGACCGATCCCGCCCAGAGAAATCCAAACCAAATATGCAAGTACCATGGCACACGTGGCCTTAAAACAGAAGATTGCAGGCAGCTAAGGGAGGAAGTAGCCCGATTGTTCAACGAGGGCCATCTTCGAGAATTATTAAGTAAGCGGGCCAAGAACCACTTCAAAAACAGAGATTCAAACAGGCAGAACGAGCAAGAGGAGCTGCAACACGTGATTTACATGATCGTTGAAGGGGTCGACATTCCCCAAGGACCGGTATTTAAGCGTACCAAGTTGATGATCATAAGGGAAAAGCGAACACGAGACTACTTACCGGAAGAGGCCCTGTCTTTCAACGACGAGGATGCAGAAGGAATCGAACAACCTCATAAAGAAGCACTGGTAATATTTGTCCTTATGAATAAAATTCAAGTTAAATGTGTTTTGGTTGATCCAGGTAGCTCAGCCAATATTATTCGGTCGAGGGTCATAGAATAGCTCGGCC